ATCCTTTCCAAGGCAAACCACAAGATATAATTATTCTCTTAAGTGTTACAAGTGTCTGATTGCTAGCAGTCTCATCTCTAGATACTGGTAATTATGCACATTAATTCGTTAGCTCATTTGATTAATTCAGAGAGTGTCTGTTGCTTCTCATACAGATATATAGTGATATGGACCTCTTACCTCACACAGTGTACTAATTGCTAAATTTTATTTTGTATAACAGTATCACAACATTTGAAGGTTCAGTGATTAACTCTCCCACTCCAAAGACAGGACAATTAGTCTTACAAATTAACTTCTCTGAGTGAAGAACCTGCATAACTAATGGTCAGTTAATATAAAAAAATTATTATCAGCTGTTCAACCATTATTTGAAGATGTCTGCAGTAGCTGATGTAATTTAGCTGAGTTTTAAAGGCAAAACAGCATCAGTGAGACAGTAACATATATTGAGTGCAGCATTTAATAAATTTATGAAAAAGAGCATAAATCATTGTAAGAAATAGCATTACACACTATAATTATATGCACCACATAATTGCATATTCTTTATTGAAATATGGGAGTTTGTTAATATGTAAAGTTAGGTAAGTGCATGCAGCAAAACATACTGAAGAAATGCAGGTATATATGACAATGAGTATTTTTGAAAAATTGGACCTGGATACTTAAATTAGTGATTTAGAGTGTGATTCAGGCAGAACTGAGATATACTAAAAACCACATTTTTTAAGCTCCTATGCTTATATATTCATCTGTTCAGTACAGTTGGCTTCCTTTCTTGAGCATTATAACCAATGTTTTGGTGACAGGTATGCCTGTTGATTTGATAAACCAGTTGTTACAAACCTGCACGAAGGTGACTTCAGGCTTTTCTTAAACTAAGAAAATTCAAACCTATGCATCTCTTAGCAGTGCTCTGTCTAGTACTGTACTTGCAGTAAGAAACAAGGTCATCGTATTCTCAAAACTGTGTCATTATACTGAAAGGAATAGAAGATCTACAGACAGATGTTCAAGCAGAAAACTTGACTCTGCAGTTTACTTTCAGTTAACTCAGTTATAAGTAGAGAGCCAGGATACAAGTCACTGTTCTTTATGCATGTGGCATTAAGCAGTGATTGGACAAAAGTCAAGAAGAGCCACGTCCCTTCAGAACAGAATTCTACTATTTCACTTATATTGTTCGTTTTTCATTTACAAAGTGACTTAAAGTCAGCCAGCAAATAGTCTAAAAATAAGTCTAAAAAATCATACTCGCTTTTCATTTGCTGTGGGCCAAGCTGTGTTTAATTATTTCATGCAAGACAAGTGCAAATGGGTGAGCTCCACTTCAACTGGGTGGTGATGCATATACTGCTAACAGAATTCTGCTACTAACTGATTAAATACTTCCCAGGTAAAGGAAAGAACTTAAAATTGCATCCCTTACACTTAAAGTGCTGTATAAAAGAGAATGGTAGTGATATTTATATAATATTTAGCTGTGATGCAAATTTATAATGTCCAACTCCAGAAAAGTATTCAGGTTTGTAAAATTCAACTGCAAGTTTTACTTGGCCAGATAAATAGCATCAACTTGTTTTCTATTCCTGACAATGACACATTTTAGTTAATTCTGAACAGATTTTTGCCATTAGTTTAAAAAGAGAAAATAATTCTTGGTAAGTAGCTTTGATTTTTTTTTTTTCCAGGAGAGAATAAAGTACTCAATAATTACTATTATTATTATTATTTCACTTTATGGAAAAATTAGAGAACAAATATTCAAGCCTAACATACATCTTGATTTATGTTACAAGGATGGTAAATAAACACATAGAATCGTAGAATAGTTAGGGTTGGAAAGGACCTTAAGATCATCTAGTTCCGTCCCCCTGCCATAGGCAGGGACACCTCGCACTAAACCATGTGACCCAAGGCTCTGTCCAGCCTGGCCTTGAACACTGCCAGGGATGCAGCATTCACGCTCCCTTTGGCGACCCATTCCAGTGCCTCACAACCCTCGCAGTAAAGAACTTCTTACTTATATCTAACCTAAATTTCCCCTGTTTAAGTTTGGACCCATTACCCCTTGTTCTATTACTACAGTCCCTAATGAAGTGTCCCTCCCCAGCATCCCTATAGGCCTCCTTCATATACTGAAAAGCTGCTATGATGTCTCCATGCAGCCTTCTCTTCTCCAGGCTGAACACCCTCAGCTTTCTCAGCCTGTCATCATACGGCACAGCAGTATACATGAGTATAGAAACTGTCTACTAACAACTAAATTGCAAGTAGGTACCTAGAAAGCATGTAAAGAATCAACATTCTGTTGTTCTACTAGAGATGGTTAAATAAAGTAGTAAGTTTGTCAGCCAAAAAGCATTAAACTCCTTAAATCTTTATTGTATCAGCATAATTTTTACCATTATCTCTTGTGTTTTCTGAGATACAATGTTTGAACATTTCCTAGTGAGGAAGAGCATTCTACATCACAATGACTATGTAACTGCTAATGTTCCAGCTAAGCATAGACAGTCATCTGTGATAAAGCTCATATTAAGAATGCCCAGTACATTAATAATGCACTTAGTATTTTCAAATCAAAAGGTAGAAACTGGCTTGTTGGCAATACAGTTGAACACCTTTTTACTTGGTGTCGTGGTTTAAGCCCAGCTGCCATGCTACCCGCTTGCTCACTCCCCTCCTTCCTCTGCCCTTCCTCCCTCCACTCCCGGAGGGATAGGGAGGAGAATCGAAAGAATGTAACTCCCACGTGTTGAGATAAGAATAGTTCAGTAACTAAGGTATAACACAAAACCACTGCTGCTACCACCAGTAATTATAAGGGAAATAACAAGGGAAGAGAATGCAACCGCTAACCACCTGCTGACCGATACCCAGCCCGATGGAGCAGCGATCTACCCCTTCCAGGTAACTGCCCCCCAGTTCTACATCCTGGGCATGACATGCTGTGGTATGGAATACCTCTTTGGCTAGTTTGGGTCAGGTGTCCTGTCTCTGCTTCCTCCCAGCTTCCCCTTCTCCCTGGTAGAGCATGTGATGCAGAAAGTCCTTGGTCAGACTAAACATTGCTGAGCAACAACTAAAAACATTGGTGTTATCAGCGCTGTTCCCAGGCTGAAAGTCAAAACCACAGCACTGCACCAGCTGCTAAAGAAGGAGAAAAATGACTGCTACTGCTGAACTCAGGACAGTACCCACCCCTTATTCCATACCACTTGCGTCATGCTCAGATCCCACATTTTCAATATACCATCGCTCTTATCTCATATATATACATATATATACATCCCACACACAGAGCAAGAGACATCATTCCTTAGTGCTTGGACCAATCTCTGTAAAGCTTCTGAGTCCATTCGGTCCATGATGTCATGCTCTATCTCTTGTAACAGTCTTTCAGAGCAGGAGAGGCTGTGTGCAGTGTTGGATCGTTGCCTGCTGATGCTGATCGGTCCTTTACCACAGAACTCGTCTGGTTCTATCAAAGTTTATTCTTTGTTGGGATGCTGGTGGGAGGGAAGTCAGGGCTAGTCACTGGTGACCTGAAGACATCTAGTTGGTGGGCTATAAAAGTGCTACATAGCAGGCAGCAGCATACAATTGAATCCATTTGCTATTTTCCCCTAAAATCAAATCCCCTTGAGGTATACATCTGACTTCCCCATCTTCCTGCATTACTCACCAAGTATATCCAGGTCCCTGTGATGGGACAAGTGGGTTTGCCTTTATCTGAAGCAGGAATAACCCAGACTGTCTTTCCCAGCAAATTTTTTATGTACAACACAGGAACTTTGTCCCCTTCTACAGTATGTAAAAGTTCTGACTGGGCTGGGCCAGCCCTGTTGGCAGATCCTCTGGTGTTGACCAACCAGGTGGCTTTTTGTAAATGTGTATCCCAATGCTTGAAAGTTCTCCCACCCATTGCTCTCAGCGTACTTTTTAACAGCCCATTGTACTGTTCGATTTTCCCAGAGGCTGCTGCATGGTAGGGGATGTGATATACCCAGTAAGTGCCACGCTCTTTGGCCAAATGTCTATAAGGCTGTTCCAGAAATGAGTCCCATTGTCTGACTCAATTCTTTCTGGGGTGCCATGTCACCACAAAATCTGTTTCTCAAGGCCCAGGATAGTGTTCCAGGCAGTGGTGTGGGGCACAGCGTATGTTTCCAGCCATCCGGTGGTTGCTTCCACCATGGTAAGCATATGGCGTTTGCCTTGGTGGGTTGGTGGCAGTGTGACATAGTCAATCTGCCAGGCCTCCCCACATTTATACTTCAGCCATCATCCTCCATACCAAAAGGACTTTAACCATTTGGCTTCCTTAATTGCAGCACGTCTCACATTCATGAATAACCTGGGCAATAGTGTCCATTGTTACGTCCACCCCTCATTCACAAGCCCATCTGTATGTTGCATCTTTGCCCTGATGGCCTGAAGTGTCATGGATCCACCGGGCCAAAAATAATTCACTTTTATGTTGCCAATCTAAGTCCATCTGAGCCACTTCAATCTTAACAGCTTTATCTACTTGTTGGTTGTTCTGGTGTTCCTCAGTGGCCCGACTCTTGGGTACATGAACATCTACATGGTGTACCATCATCACCAGGTTCTACACCTGGGCAGTGATATCTTGCCACAGTGCAGGAGCCCAGATGGGTTTACCTCTGCATTGCCAGTTGCTCTGCTTCCACCTACAACCGCCCCCAAAGGGCATTTGCCACCATCCATGAGTCAGTATAGATATAAAGTACTGGCCACTTTTCTCATTCAGCAATGTCCAAGGCCAGCTGGATGGCTTTCACCTCGGCAAACTGACTCGATTTACCCTCTCCTGCAGCAGCTTCTGCAACTTGTCGTCAAGGACTCCATACAGCTGCCTTCCATCTCCGATGCTTTCCCACAATACGGCACGAACCGTCAGTAAACCAGGCATACTGCTTTTCACTTCCTGACAGTTTATTATATGGTGGGGCATCTTCAGCACACATCACCTCCTCCTCTGGTGACATTCCAAAATCTTTGCCCTCTGGCTAGTCCATGATGACTTCTAGAATTCCTGGACGACTGGGATTTCCTATTTGAGCTCGTTGTGTAATTAGTGCAACCCACTTACTCCATGTAGAATCATTTGTGTGATGTGTATAGGAGACCCTGCCTTTGAACATCCAGCCCAGCCTGGGCAACCGGGGTGTCAGGAGGAGCTGTACTTCAGTGCCAATCACTTCCAAAGCAGCTCAAACCCCTTCATAGGCTGCCAGTATCTCTTTCTCAGTTGGGGTATAGCTGGCCTCAGATCCTCTGTATCCCTGACTCCAAAAGCCGAGGGGTTGACCTCAAGTCTCCCCTGGAGCTTTCTGCCAGAGGCTCCAGGTAGGATCATTCTCCCTGGCTGCGGTGTAGAGCACAATTTTTACATCTGTCCTGGTCTGAACTGCTCTGAGGGCCACTGCATGAACTATCTCTCTTTTAAGTTGCTCAAAGGCTTGTTGTTGCTCAGGGCCCCATTTGAAATCATTCTTCTTCTGGGCCACATGATATAGAGGGCTTACAACCGAACTGTAATTTGGGATGGGCATTCTTCAGAACTCCACAGCACCCAAGAAAGCTTGTGTTTCTTTCTCATTAGTTGGTGGAAATATTGCTGTTATCTTGTTGATCACATCTGTGGGGATCTGGCAACATCCATCTTGCCATTTTATTCCCTCAAATTGAATCTCCTGCGCAGATCCCTTGACCTTACTCCGTTTTATGGCAAAACTGGCTTTCAGCAGGGTTTGGATTATTTTCCTCTCTTTCTCAAAGACTTCTTCTGCTGTATCGCCCCACACGATAATGTCATTGATGTATTGCAGCTGTTCTGGAGTTTGCCCCTGTTCCACTACAGTCTGGATCAGCCCATGGCAAATGGTAGGGCTGTTTTTCCACCCCGGGGGCAGTTGGTTTCAAGTGTACTGGACTCCCCTCCAAGTAAAAGTGAATTGCGGCCTGCACTCTGCTGCCACAGAAACAGAAAAATGCATTGGCAATACCAATCATGGCATACCACTTGGCTGCCTTTGACTCCAGTTCATACTGAAGTTCTAGCATGTCCGGTATGGCAGCACTCAATGGTAGTGTGACTTTGTTCAGGCCACAATAGTTACTGTTAGTCTCCACTCTCCATTAGACTTTCGCACTGGCCATATGGGGCTATTAAAGGGTGAATGGGTCTTATTATCACTCCTTGGCTCTCCAGTCTATGGATTAGCTTATGGATGGGAATCAGGGAGTCTCAGTTGGTGCGATAGTGCCGCTGGTGCACTGTTGTGGTCGCGATTGGCACTTGTTGCTCTTCGACTTTCAGCAGCCCCACAACAGAAGGATCCTCTGAGAGACCAGGCAAGGTGGACAGCTGCTCAATTTCCTCAGTCTCCAAAGCAGCAATACCAAAAGCCCATCAATACCCTTTTGGGTCTTTGAAGTACCCTCTCCTGATGAGGTCTATGCCAAGGATGCATGGAGGCTCTGGACCAGTAACAATTGGGTGCTTTTGCCATTTCTTCCCAGTCAGGCTGATTTCAGCCTCCAGTAAATTCAACTCTTGGGATCCTCCTGTCACTCCAGAAATAGAAACGGATTCCACCCCTTGATAGCTTGATGGCATCAGGGTACACTGTGCACCGGTATGTACTAGAGCTTTATATTTCTGTGGGACTGATGTGCCAGGCCATCTGATCCACACAGTCCAGTAAATCCGATTGTCCCCTACCTCCACCTGACTGGAGGCAGGGCCCCTCTAATAGTCGTCACAATGTTGGATACTTAAGTCTTGTTAAAAGGGATTATTCTTCATTATCACAGGAGCTGGAGTAAAATCAGCTCTTCCACTCTATCTGGGAACCTGCTCACCAGAGACTGAAGCCACAGCTTTCATGGGATGATCAGACTTGACCGTTGTTCTCTTCAATTCACACACCCAGTCCTCCAAATCTGAGTGAGGTTTTCCATCCCACTTTGTCATGTCTTCTCCATGATCCCACAGTTAAAACCATTTGGTGGCCCGTGGCATACACCTTCTGTATCTTTTCTCCCAAACAATAGGATGCCTTTTGTTAATAGCTGAGACGTGTGTTGGTACATGTGGGGAACTGGACAGATCAGATACATCATCTCTCAATTGTTTGAGGCCCTGGGACAGTTTTTCCACAGCTGAAATGATGGAAGGAGTGAGATTGTCTGCGAATTCCTGGAGTTTATGAATCATACCATCCACTGTTAGCGGTACTATGTCATTCCAGGTTACTGTTGCCAAAGAATGGGCATATTATGACAGTGCATTCTGTGTAAATTTCCGCCACATGGGTCTTCATCTGGATCTTTGGGTACATCCTCATTATTCGGCTTGATGTGATAGATCATCTCTACAATGGCTTATTCCCTCAGAGACTGGATGCCCTTCTCTAGAGTAGTCCACATGGTCAAACTACTCATAACATTGTCCTTGTATGGAAACCTTTCTTTCACAGCTGCCAAGAGCCGCCTCCAAAGGCTGAGGGACTTTTTCTCTCTTGCAATTGCTTTGTCAATTCCCCCTTCTCTAGCAAGTGATCCCACCTTTTTGGCTTCCCTACCTTCTAGTTTGTGACCGTTGGCCCCATTGTTCCAACATCAGATCAACCAGGTGATGATGTGCTCCCCTGGTTGATGGGTAAAATCTTTTCACATATTCCATAACTCGGTTGAGGTCCAAGGTCGAGAAGTCACCTCTTCTTCTTCTTCTTCTTTGTCATGTGATGATGACTCCTGATCAGATGCTGTTCCAGGTAGTAAGGGCATTGCCATTGCTTCTTCATTTTGTTCCTTCATCTTTCTTGTGTTTTGCTTTTTTTTTTTTTTTTGCTTTTCCCCTTGCGTACAGGAGCAACTGATATTGGTACGAATTGGTTCTCTGGTTTAGCTGCAGTATCTGTTGTTGGGGTTTGCGTATCTGCTGTACTTGTCACTGGGGTTTGAGTAGCTACTGTACTTGTTGCTGGGGCTGGTGTAACTGCTGTACTTGGAGTTAGAATAGCTGCCCTGTCTGTTGCGACTGAAGTTTGATTAGATGCTGTACTTGTCGCTGGGGCTGGTATAGCTGCTGTGCTTGGAGCTGGAGTAGCTGCACTGCCATCAGATCCAGGGACATTTTTTTCCTTTCGAAGGTGCTGAATAGTGTTGAACAGGGCTCTGTAAGCACAGGCCAAGCCTCAGCACGTTGCCATGATTTGTCCCTCTCTGGTATGACCAGAACGACAACACACCTCATTTAAGTGTTTTACTAATTTTTCTTGATTTTGCACTTGTTCACTGGTGAAATTCCAAAGCACTGGGGGGGCCCACTGGGCTAGATACTTGCCCATACTATCCCACACACCCTGCTACTCATAACTGTCCAGCCTCGAGGAAAATCTCCTGGTCCTCCTATATCATCATCTAACCCTAGACAAGGCCCAAACATGACTCTGCTCAGCTCTTGATATCAGACGAAATGGTCATGGGTAAAACACACTCTGTATGAGTGCCAACATGGTGATCCCCATCACAATCAGCAGGCAGGTCTCAAGGGTACCTAAAGGCCATTCAAAACCTTGAGAACTCTCAAACGATGCTGTAAACGGTCCAGTGGAGTGGCTGGAAGCATGAGAGAATGTCTCCTTCACGGGTTGACCACCCGAGGAGAAGAAAAAAGATGTGTAATTGTTAAACGTTTCTACTATATACCTCCCAAAGTATAGAGGTGGTGACCACACCGGGAAAGCACTCCAAATCAGTTTCAGGATTGTCATGGTTTAAAACCAGTCAGGCAGCTCGTTCACTTACTCTTCCCTTTCTTTCCCTCCCCCTACTCCCAGAGGGACAGAGAGGAGAATCGAAAAGAATGCAACTCCCACAGGTTGAGATAAGAACAGTTTAGTAACTTAGGCATAACACAAATCACTACTGCTACCACCAATAATAATAATGATAAAGAAAGTAACAAGGGAAGAGAATGCAACACCTCAGCACCAGCCGACTGATAACTCGCCCCCCCCCTCACCAGACAGAGCACCAACCAGTACCTCCTCCAACCCTGCAGTGTACTAGCCCTTCCGGGTAACTCTCCGTTACATCCTGGGCATGACGTGCTGTGGTATGGAATACTTCTTTAGTCAGTTTGGGTCAGGTGTCCTGTCTCTGCTTCCTCCTGGCTTTCCCTCCTCCCTGGCAGAGCATGAGGCTCAGAAAGTCCTTGGTCAGACTAAAACATCAGTGTTTTCAGCTCTGTTCCCAGGCCAAAAGTCAAAACACAACGCTGCACCAGCTACTAAAGAAGGAGAAAATGACTGCTACTGCTGAACCCAGGAGAATGATTTTATTGTATTACAAGTCATTACCATAAAGTACAATGAAACAAGAACTTTAGCCCATGGCCCCCAGGCAATGAACACTAACACAGCAAATACCAGCTGAAGTAAGGTACGACATGCTGAAACTCTGAGATCAAGAGCAACAACTTTGGTAGCCAATAAACCAGCATTGTGACAAGTGACTATTAATTCAAAACAATAAATGTCTGTCATAAATAGGATTAGACACACTCTGGTCAGATCTGTTGTTATCTCAACCTTTCATGCCCCCGTTGGGTGCCAAAAAAGAACTGTTGTGTTTTAAGCCCAGCTGCCACGCAACCTGCTCGCTCACTCATCCCCTTCCTCCCCACCAGCTCCTGGAGTGATGGGGAGGAGAATCGAAAGAATATAACTCCCTCAGGTTGAGATAAGAACAGTCCAGTAACTAAGGTATAACACAAACTGCTAATGCTACCACCAGTAATAATAATGATAAGGGAAATAACAGGGGAAGAGAATGCGACCGCTCACCACCCGCCGACTGATACCCAGCTTGATGGAGCAGCAATCTAGCCCTTCTGGGTAACCGCCCCCAGTTCTACATCCTGGGCATGACATGCTGTGGTATGGAATACCTCTTTGGCTAGTTTGAGTCAGGTGTCCTGTCTCTGCTTCCTCCCAGCTTCCCCTCCTCCCTGGTAGAGCATGAGACTCACAAAGTACTTGGTCAGACTAAACATTATTGAGCAACAACTAAAAACTTTGGTGTTATCAGTGCTGTTCCCAGGCTGAAAGTCAAAACCACAGTACTGCACCAGCTACTAAGAAGGAGAAAAATGACTGCTACTGCTGAACCCAGGACACTTGGGTTAAAGAATAGCAAATAGAGGAAAGTGAGAGAAAACTTACTAATTCAAATAACTTTTCAGAGTTAAAAATTAAAGACATCCATATCTGAAAACTCTTATACAGGCTTAAGGACTGTGTGGCTGATATAGTCTTCTCCAAATTCAATGAAACGTATACCAGTTTGTCATATGAACCTTGAGGTGAAGTAAGTATTGTTCATTGGCGTTCATTTGTCTTATATAGTTAAGTGTTAACCAGCTAAGTGTGAAGCAGTCTTTTCCTCTGCTTTTATTAGCAGACAATCCCAAAATTCAGTTACATTTAACATTTGACAGCCAGAAATAGAGTGTTTGCTTGTACTCAAAAGACATAAAGGTGACGTTATGTCTATGCTACCAAGATGAACATGGCTGGAACCATTTTCAGACACCAAGGTCAACTAGCGGAACATCTCACATTCATATTCTCAATGTTATTAGTCTCCAAAACAAGTGACCAGCATTCAGGGACTTTAACCTATGTTGCCCTCAGAACTGTGCCCAGGAACTGTTTCTGCAAGTGCTACCTGTCACAAGGCAAAAAATACATTTCAGAGATTATTCTAACAATTTTAAAGCATGAAAAACAGTTTCAGAGCCTGGAAATGCCCC